CCCCACATATTGTCAATGGAAAGCTTAAGTAGGAACAAACAAGTATTTTTTTTTTATGCTTAGATTCATAGCGAATAGATACATCCCAATCTTAAAATAGTTGATGACTCTTGGCAAGTAGACCTACGCTTATATATGCAAAGAAATGTAAGACAACATCAATAAATAACAAAATATAGGACAACATCTCCAGCACAGCTAGTAGATCCACTTATCAATGCACAATGTGTATGTGTGTGTGTTTATATGCCAGTCCAGTCAGTACTTTGATTGTTTATATAGAGACAAAAGCCAAAATCTTCATGAGCAACATAGGGGAAAAAGATATTTGCCTCCTTGAATTGAATAATGTACAAACGCCAAAGTCATCCATCACTCATGATCTCAGGCACAACATTCTCATCAATCTGTTCCTAGATTATTAAATTGTATCATTAGACCGAGCTCAAATTTCAAGAAAAATAACATTATTCAATCCAAAGAGATATAAAGTGCATATACACTTCCCTGAAAATGATATTAAAAGCGAAATTTTCTCAAATACTATTAAGCAAAAGGTCAACAATTTGAAGTTGCAAAAAAAGTCAAATTAAGTGAAACTTGTGCCCTCTTTCAATGTACTTCACGGCAAACAAGTTGTACGTGTAAAACCCAGATAAATTTGAACTTTTTACGAAAGGGGGGCAAAACAGTAAATTGGCCACTATGGTGTGGTTTAGAAACCTGAAATTTTTTAGGTCTCAGATGATGAAATAAACCTTACCATTGAATTCATCTCATGAAATCTAGCTACCCCGTCAAATTTCATTGAATTTCGAGATAATCGAATTTTTTGCATTTTACGAGGCGGTCGAGTCTCGGGTAACCCAAAAACAGAATTTTTAATAAAATTTTAAAATTTAAAAAATAATTTAAGTTAAATTAAAATAAAAATATTTTGAACTTGAACTGAGACGAAATAAAATCGTTTTGGGATGAAAACGGACCTGGGAAAAATTAGGGTTGTGTGGCGCGTTGTGGGTCAAGTGTTTTGGGAGTATAAAAAGGGGAGAAATATCTCATTCTTCAGCCGTTCATCGATAGAAGAGAGAAAGAGAAGAAAATGAGAGAAAGAGAGGGAAAAAGAGAGAAATCCTTCGCTTTTCTCTACGATCTACAAGAATCGGTTGCTCAAATCCGTTTGGGCCAAGAACAAAGATTGTTCTACATGCAAGGGCTACGCGACCACACCAAAAATGACAATTTTCACCGAAGATTCCAAGGACATGATTTTGGGAAATCAAGGGTTTGGCCTTAGGGGATACTCTTGAATGTTATATTGTCGATTTTACGCTTCAAGATGTAGGATTCCTTCCTACTTTGGTTTATTTTACAACCTAAGGTGTTAAATGAAATGGGAATTTTTTAGAGTTAGATATATCACTTGCCTATTGTGGTGAAATTAATGGAATGGGTATTGGAAAGGGATAGAATAAATTTTATCCTATAATGGGCATGTAGAATTTACTCAAAGAAATTTCTTGAAAAAAAATGTGGAAATTGATATATGGGCATGCTATGTGTTTACATTACGCCTTTGTGAATAAAGTGTGATATTGGCATAGACTATGTGCTAAAATGCTTGGAAATCATTGTTGGATATAATGTTAACATATGTGTTATGACATGTTAGCATTATGATGAATTGTAAAATTATATGTTTTTTGATATAATTGGTGATAAAATGGTGGAAATTGTTCATTGGCATTCATTGCATATGGGGCATGATGTTGGCATCACATTCATGGGCATTAAACATGAGTGTGGGAGTGTGTGTGTGCATGGTTTATCAAACACCATATAGGTGGATGATGGGTGGGCTCGAAAAAGTTGGATCGAAGATCCGACTGAGTCGCATGGTTGCATAAAAAACTTGTGTCGGGTATAAAAAGAAGGGCTAGACTCTCCCTCGAGTGCAAGATCCGGCTACTGATTTTATATACTTCCAACGGTGCAAGTCCAAAAATGTGTATTGGTGTGCGGAGCCGGGGTGAGACACCAAAAGTCCACTACCCAACAAGACACATGGTTTTGTTTTATAAAGAAATAAAATATCATTAATGTGTAACATCAATGACGAATTTATTACACATTGGCATAGCATTGTGTTGTGGAAGCCGGAGAGGGCTCGGGATAAAAGGGCAAGAGTGAGTCTCATCTCATTCATGGCATGACACTGTTAAAATTCCAATATTGAATATTATGTTCTTGTTTGGGATTGTTGCTTGATAAATGTTGCATGGACATTCATGTGCACTTAGGTTAGGGGAATAGCCTCTGTAGGAAATATTCTACTGATCGTGGCTCACCCTTTTAAGGGAAAAATATTTCAAGTGCGGGTGGTATGTTGGCGGAGGGCTCTCACTCGAGGCCTCAAGTATGAAGAAAGCCGAAATGTGGCTTTATTTTGAATATTGTAAATATTTATGAAAACCTTGTTTTTGGCATGTAAATTCATGTAAATGAATGTACTAGAAAGTGTATGGACCTTGCAATAAATGAAAATCTTCATTATACATGTGTTAGATATATGTAATATGGTTGAGAATGAGTTGGAAATGAAAAACATGTGAAATAGGCAAAAGTCGGCAAAGTATACCGGTATGGCGTACCAGTATAACGAGGTACAGTGGGCAATTCATACCAATATGGCATACCGGTATGACAAGGTCCAGTGGGCAATTCATACCGGTATGACGAGGTCCAGTGGGCAACTCGTACCGGTATTGCGTATTAGTATAGTGTACCGGTACACTTTCCAAAAATCTGAAATTTTAAAAAATTGTTTTGTCATGCTTATGGACCTTGGGTTCTTTGTTTCCAAGGATATAAATGGACATAAAATAAGAACAAATTGGATATATCGGACTTGGGCTGGGTCAAATGGTAAAATATACCAGAGTAACACGTGTGAGTTAAAATCCTGGTTAAGGGGATGTTACTAACGTGACGTCAAGTTGTGCGACAACCACGGGTATTTTCACGGGTTGATGGATGGTCAACGGTTGAAAAAGGACCTCCGGTTTCAGGGGCGTCACAGTATGTCAACTCTTTAATGAGATGACACAATTATATTAGAGTCTGAAGCAAAAAATTAGCCAACGGATAAATACTAAATCTCTTCTAATGCACAATTGTAGTTGTAATAAATTTGCTCCTTTTCCCTTTCTCATTCGCATTCAAGCATCCCCAACAATCAAAATAATACATAAAGATTATAAGCAATATATTGGTATTATGGATTACCTAGCTAGCAAACTCCTTCAACCCAATAAATTTTTCATACCAATGAAAATTAAAAAATACACCAACCCATTGAGAAAAACAAAAGAAAGAAAAAGAGAAAATCAGGGAATTGAATGGTGAACCAATGTAACACCAATTTATCATTGCTCAATGGAGCTTTTACTTAAAACTAGTCGATTTTGGAAAATTATACCCAAAATCGGGTGGTTTTGAAACTAATTCCCAAACTCAAGTAGTTTTAAAAATATCGATTGCTTGAAAACTCAAGCAGACAAATCTTGTAAGGTAGTCCTTTAGCTTCTAGAAGGCCTCCTCTACATCTAGTTCCCAGTGGAAAGACTTGCGGAGGATTTTAAAGAAAGGCAGGCACTTATCTGCTGACTTTGAGACAAACCTGTTGAGGGCTGCTATCCTCTAGTTAAGGCGCTAGACCTCCTTCACTGAGGCTGGGGACTTCATCTCCAGGATAGCTCTGATCTTGTCTAGGTTAGCTTCAATGCCCCTTTTGTTGACCATGAAGCCCAAGAATTTTCCTGAACTAAGGCCAAAGGCACACTTTTCAGGCTTCAGCTTCATCCTGTAGGCTCTCAGTACATCAAAGGTCTCTTAGAGATGTGTCACATGGTCTATCGCGACCATACTCTTCATCAACATATCATCTACGTAGAATGACTTGATCCAAAATGTGTACACCCAAGTGCAGGAGGTCAAGTTGTAGTAATAATCTGGTTAAGTCCGAAGTCGAATCCACAAGGAACTATGATTGGTGTTTTGAAGTAAGCAATAATAGATACCAAGTAACTGAAAATTTTTAGAGTTTGGAGTGGTGGGGTTCTTGAATAGAATAGAAGATTCTTTTCAAGAGTTTTATAGACAAAATATAAGGGGTTGTTTGTTAATTGTTTTTGTCCTGTGTTTTGTGTTTTTGTTTTCATTTTTGTTAAAAATGAAAACAAAAATATATTTAGTAACTGTTTTTGATTTTGTTTTGTTTTCGTTGTATAGGAGACAAAGACAAAAAAATGGGAACAAAATATTTTTGTTCCAAGAAACACGCAAAACAAAAACACGCGCAAAAAATGATTAATGAGATCCGGGTTTTCGAACTCCCTTAACAGCAAAAATTGTCTTTTTTTGTGAACCTATTTAAACCCACTCCATTTCTCTCTTCTCTCCATCACTACCTCACTCTCTCTATTCTCTTATCTCCATCGTTGCCTCACTCTCTCCATTCTCTCACCGTCACCGACGATAGCTCCTCTCCTCTCTCTCACCAATGGAGGTAAGCCCCTTCTCTTTCTCCCTCTCTCATCTCATCTCCTCATTCTCTCTATATATATATACACACAAATCTGTGTATATATATATGTGTGTTCTGTGTGATGGGTGTGTGTGTGTGTTCTGTGTATATATATGCATCTATGTGCATAGATCTATGTGTTGTGTTTGTGTTCTGTGTGTTGGGTGTGTGTTTGTGTTCTGTGTTCTGGGTGTGTGTGTGTGTTGTGTTCTATGTGTGTGTGTGTGTGTGTGTGTTGTGTTTGTGATTAAATTGAGATTGAGATTGAAATTGGAATTGAATTACCATTTAATTTAGGATTGAATTGGGGGTGGGATTATATGATGAGGCCTTAGAGAGGGGATGACTGTACGGGAAGGGGAAGGAATGGTTGCAAGAACTTAAAATTAGCTCTCCTATTTCTGTTATTACAAAGGTAATGTGGATCAAATGGGTACCTCACTCTGGGAATGTGTTGAAAATGAATGTTGATGGTGCTTCTAATGGGAGAAGTGGCTTATCAGGAGGTAGGATGGTGATAAAAAATTCCAAAGGGCATGTGGTTCTGGCAGCTGCTACTTATTATGAAATGGGTTCTAATATGCTAGCTGAATGCAGGGCAATGCTTGATGGTTTACAATTGATTAGGAAATATGGTATGGAGGATTTTCATTTTCTTCTTGAATCTGTTTCCAAGGTTTTGGTTCAGATGATATTGGGCCAAGCAGAGGTTCCTTGGAGGGTTAAGAGCATTTTGGAGAAAATTTGGAATTTGCTTCATGGATTGCCCTTTTAGTTGAACCGTGTGTACACAGAGGCCAATGGTATAGCTGACGTTTTAGCTTCTTTTCCTATCAATTCAGGTAGATGTTCTATTTTTTCTGAAGATAGTATACTGCCACTTGTTGGGAGATTGCTTTTGCAAAAAGATCAAAGCATGATGCCTACTAGACTGAAGAAGGTGATTGTCTATGATCAAAGACATGGGGTTGGTTGATGATAATGGTGCAGTATTGCAGCTAGTTTTGGATTGAAAGACTGTTTGTCTGGGCAATGTTTTCTGTGTGTGGATAATGGTTGGATATGTCTGATGGTAGTGAATTAAGAAGAAGGTGTTAGGTGTTGTGAGTATGCTTTGAATTCTAGGCGGCTGGTTTGTGCAATTTGTATGGCCTAATTTGCTTTTGTATTTCCTCTCTGCATTTGGACTGCATTGGTCTAATCTGTTTTGTATTGGTCTGTACTGCTCTGATCTGAAGTATGGAGTTGGGTATGCAGACAGTTTTTTTTTTTTAACAGATTTAGAGGCTTTTGTTCCAAAATGTAATTAGAAAAATTTTAATCCATCTTGAAGGATTAAAGCCTTTTTTCATATTTTTAGAACAACTTGTTATTTGTTTCTTGTAATTCTTTCTTTTTTGGAAATAAAATTTTCTCTTTTCTAAAATAAATAAATAAATAAATAGTTGGGGGTGGGATTGAATTTCCATTTGAGATTGAATTGGGATTAGGATTGAGATGAATGACATTTGAATAATATTTGAATAGCAACAGACAAAAAATGCGTTAATTTGTTTGAAAACAAAAAATGAGATATTATGAAACATATTAAGGATAAAATTTGAGGTAGTTATCAAACATGTTTTCTGTTTTTATTCTCATAATTTGATAGACAAAAATGACTACCAAATATGTTTTCTGTTTCAATGTTTACCACAAAACAGAGACAAAAAATTGTCTCTATTTTTGGTTTTTTGAAGACGCAAAAACAAAAACGTTATCAAACGACCCCTAAGATTCTCAAAATGTAATAACCACCCTTCAGCTCGAGGATCAGGGCATGTAATAGACTATTCGGTTTATTATGTTTGTGCTTTATAACTCAATTAACTCCCATGTCAACAGCAAGTTAATCGGAAGACAAAGATGGATTGTGAGAATTAAGCACATGATTCCGATACCTTTCTAGAAATTTTACAAGAATTGTCTGTGCCGAGACTTAACCCGTCTACAAACAAGCAAGGGTTTCTACAAGGTATCCAACCATGGCATTAAGGGCTCATTCTTTGAATAAAACACAATAATAGTGGAGATTGAAAGGTTGTTATGAAGAGCTAGCTGGGGTGCTTGCCTTGAACCAACGAGTCTTTCTATGCAAGAGTCATCCGTATCATAGAAAAATCCCTAGATTATACAAAGTACCTCAACTTTGCTAGGTGCATTTAACCATCCATTGAACAGGTGGAATATAAAGCATTAAAGCATGAAGAAGTTGCACAAACATAGCTTTCGGATAATCTTTACATACTCATCACCTCTTACTAAAGAGTGAATGAGGAACTACTCACTTTTCATGGCCTTGGCAAAGCTAGAAAAGTGAATGCTACTCATCCCTCTAAGTAGATGAGCTAATAAGTGAAGCAAACTAAACAAAGAGCTTATCTTCAATGAAGAATAAGTGAATCACTTTCCACCCTTCACGGTTTTGGTAAAGCTCTAGAAAAGTGAAAGAGTTTCACTCTTCTAACAAGGAAGGATGCTCAAGCAATTGAAGTGAAATACATGAACAATAAAAGTAGAAAAAATTTAGTTACTTTTGGAGGGTTTCCACCACAACCAAAAGATGAACTATATCTCTTGATACTTTGTAAATAAAAGCAAGTACAACTACAAGAGGAGTCTAGGCATCCATCATAGTTGTCACAACATGAATGTAAAGACTTAACATAAGTAAATAAAATACTTCAACTATAAGGGGAGTCTAAGCCTCCATCATGGTTGATATAAATGCAAAATGAAAACATAAATATGGAATGTTCAAGAACTAGATTACTAAAACACTCTTATTTTACAAGAACAAGGATTGCTCCCCCTTTTCTCTACAAGAGGAAGAATGTCCTTTAAGCTCCCAACATGGGAGTATTTATAGGCAAGGAAGGGGAGGAGGGTGAAGGAATAGTGTTTGCCACCCAAGTCCAAGTGAAAAGCCAACAACTCTGCAGCCAGTCAATGGGGGACGTTCGAACGTGATCTAGCATTCGAATGTTAAGTCTGTCTTTTCTTTAAGGACGTTCGAACATGGGATGCCATTCGAACGTTGTCTATGTCTTTTTTTTGAGGGTGTTCGAACGCCAGATGGGGTCTAATTCCTTCCACTCAAGTGGCCTATGGTCTCTGACTTGGTCACTTCCATACGTCTTAAACAACTTTGACTTTACACCCAGCAACTTGGTCCTCAGTCACTCAAGACAGCGTTCGAACGTGGAGTGGCATTCGAACGTTGTACTCAAGTACTTTTGTTTTGTGGTTCTTCTTTCTTTACTACAACATGCCAGGTTCCAGTGGTGTAGTCTTCTCAAGATTCCAGAGGACGTTCGAATGTGAGTTGGCGTTCAAACGTGGTACTCAAGTACCTCGGCATTTTCTCTTTGTTGACTACAACACGCCGTGTCTCAGCAGCTAATCTTGGCAGGGTTTCAGAGGACTTTCGAACGTGGGTTAACGTTCGAACGTTCTTGCTTTGTTCCAACCTTCTACAATTTTGTTCCCTATTATGCTGGTGTTACATTCAAGTGTAATTTTTGTTGTTCTTGAGCCTTTGTTCTCTTTAGGACCTGAAATGTCATTACTTAAACTCCAAAAAAGTACAATTAGTCCAAAAAGGCATAGTAAAAATTGTTAACTTTACGCACAAATCATAGACCTCCATGGTCTTCCCAATCTGAGCCTCGAACATCTTGTTCATACGGTGCTGATATGTGACTCCGGTATTCTTGAGTCCTAAGGGCATCACCCTGTAGCAGTAGGTGCCCTTTGAGGTGATGAATAAAGTTTTCTCCTGATTTGGAACGAACATGCTTGATCTGGTTGTACCCGAAGTAAGCATCTAGAAAACTCAGGAGTTCGTGTCCCACGGTGGCGTCAATAAAGAGATCAATGCATGGAAGAGGATAACTGTCTTTGGGGCAGACTTTATTGAACTCCATGAATTATATACAGAGGCGCCACTTCCTATTGGCCTTCGTAACCATCACTACATTGGGTAGCCAGTCTTGGTAGGCTACCTCCTTACTAACCCATTTTTCAGTAGTTTCTCCGCTTTTTTTTCCATGGCTTGGCCTCTCTTAGTACTTACATTCCTCAGCTTCTGGCAGATAGGTTTATACCTAGGATCGACATTGAGTCGGTGGGATGCTATTTCGGGGTCGATGTCCTCTAAGTCTTTGTGGGACCAGGCAAATACATTCATGTTCTACCTAAGGAAGTCTACCAGGTCGGAAGCTTGCTCTTGGGAAAGTGAGGAGCCTATATAGACTCTTCTCTCTGGAAGGCCTCTCTCCAAGGTACTATCATCCCTCGGGTCAAGTACTTCAACTTGGAGAGTCTTGTATGGCCTTCTGGCCCTCATAGAGGCCACATAGCACTCCTGGGCAAAGACCTAGTCTGCTCTGATCTCTTAAATCCCACTGGTGGTTGGAAAATGGAGAAGAAGGTGGTAGGTGAATGGTACTACCTTTAAGGTGTTGAGGGAAGGGCATTCAAGAATAATATTATAGGCAGAGGGGTAATCAAGTACGATAAAATTTACCACGATGGTGGAACTCCTCGGTGCTGTTCTTGTTGTGACCGACAGAGTATTGGAAGCTAAGAGATAAATCCTTTCCCCTAAGAAGCCAACAAGGGGAGTCCTGATGGGTTGCAATCTCTCCCTGCCCAGATGGAGGCTATCAAAGGCTGGTGCCAATAGAATATCGGCTGAGCTGTCGCTGTCGACCAGAATTCTCTTAACCTGGTAGTTGGCTACCATCAAGGTTAAGACTAGAGGATCATCATGAGGGACTTGGATCCCCTCGAGATCCCTGTCCGAGAAGGTGATGACCTTTTCCTCCCTGTGTCGGGGTGTCTTCATCGGGCAAGAGTCATGTGACTCTGCCTGTCTGGCTTTCCAAGTGTGTGCTTTCCTGGCAGAGTTGGAGTGACCTATTCCTCCTAACCCTCTGAAGATTGTCTGGATCTCTCCGAGGGGTTGCTGGTGCACTTGATCCTCCTAATTCCTGTTAAGTGGTGGAGCTGGTCCTCGGCCAGCAACATACTACTGTAACTGACCACGCTAAATAAGTTCCTCGATCTGCCTCTTTAGCTTGAAGCAGTCGTCAGTGCATGGCCATGGTCACGATGGAAATGGCAATACTTGCTTGGATTTATGTAGTTTAGGGCGGACTTCATTTTTTTGGGCCAGCAGAGTGTGGGGTGATCATGTATCTGGAATAGGGTGTGCTCCACCAAGGCATTGAGTGGCGTGAAAGGCTATCGTTCTCTCTGGGGTACGGGACCAAGACGGTCCTTGACAGAGACTCTCTTGGTCCTCTTTCTCTTATTCTCCGCCTCTCGCTTATCCTAGCGGAAGTCCTTCCTTTTCTCCCCTCCTCGGGAGGACTCATCTCGACGGACTTTGGTGATGTCCTCAGCATTCATATATTTTTATGCCCTTGACAGCAGCTCAGGCATGCTGGAGGGTGGCTTCTTGAGGACGAAGAACATAATATTGGAGGAGTGCAGAACCACAATGAAGGCGGCCATGGTTACCTTATCGTCTAACTCCTCAATCTAGAGAGCATCCTCGTTGAAGCGAGAGTGAGGTAGCTCCTAAGGCTTTCATTCCAGTCCTACTTGATGGTGAGCAGGTGGGTAACAGGCTTCTAATGTCAGCATCCCCCAATGAAGTGGGAGACAAAAGATTTGCTCAGCTCCGCGAAGGAGTAAATAGAAGAGGATTTGATCTTTGCGAACCATTAT